CCCCAAAACCCCAAAACCCCAAAACCCCAAAACCCCGTAAGAGTGAATTTTTCTCTCAGAGTCTAAAGAGCAATGAATTAATAATTAGAGATATATTAGTGTGTACCATCTATTTAAAGTTTCTAAAACTAGTACAATTTTTGAAGGTGAAAGATGTACCGATACAATTTAAATTTGATAATAATATAGATCAAGCTAGTTACTTAGTTTGTTTCACAGGCCCTGAGTCTCCAAGTCCAACAAAATCAACATTTCTTGATGCCTTAAACCTTACTTTACTATTACCGTGATCTAGTGGAATAAATTTCAACTCCAGAAAAGATTTATTCTTTGCCATTTTATTGTCAAGCATTGCTTTCATTACATCCTTGTTTATTTAAATGCATTACATCTTGTCGACCTAGTGAATCAGATCAGGAGGAGTGTATTTTTGATATCCTGGTGTTTTTTGATATTCTTTTAAATTTAGGTGGGTCTTAAAAACATGAGGGAGTCTTGATATTCCATCAACTTCTCTATGCTTGTTTCTTGAATCTTACTAAGACTTTAATGATTGTCTTTGTCCATCTGGATTTTATTGTATCGTTGCTTGTTCTTAACTAGTCATATTCATCATTACAGATGAACTAAGAACTCTGCTTTGCTATAACTTTTTCGCTGCTGACAATGGTAGTTCTCCCACAATGATCATCTATGCATATTTATTCGACCCTTTGAGTTTTTGAAATTTATGCTTAAACATTAGATGCTAAGTTTTAAGTGATACCTGAGTGAGTCTATTGCTAATTTAAGACTAAGAGTCCAAATCATTTTTCAATATAATGCGATCCATTGATTGTTTTTCCATGAATTCACTTAATTGTGCTGATAGTGTCAAGTTCTTATGTGACCTTTTGTTTATAAATGAAGGGTGCTGCTATTTTAACTTTGAGCTACTAGCACAATCATACTCAGATTCCATTAAATTCAAATTCTCTCCTGAATTCACTATATCGAAGCATTCCATTAGCTCTTGACTTCCAACGTAAAGACTAGCATTCAAAATCAAATAGACGTTTTAATTGCATAATGGACACTAGCATTGATGATCTAAAGTATTTTAATTCAATGTAAGCCTACTTTCAGATGAGTTGAAAAGTTCATTGATTCCAATAAGCCTAACTGACTAGTCTATATTTGGCTTAAAATCTGTTATCAATAACTCTATATTCTGTTATAATACCTTTTTAATGGAAGGGATAATTAATGATTACTTTGAAACGATTTGGAACAAAATTAGCAGTAGTATTTGAAAGATTTGATAGCATAAATCAAGGGGGATTAATTCAGAGCAGAACTTTGCGGGGAGGCAACTTATGAATCCTGTTCATCAGACAATGGACATCTCCCATCCAGGCCCTAATAAATATTTGGCTACATGAACAATTGATCTAGCTTGTTTTCTGACTTGTTGACCTAGAGCAAAATATTAGCAATCAATGATTGTAAGAAATTTCAAATGATTGAGGTCAACTTAGATTAAATTTTAGTATGCTAGTATTTTTCCTTATCTTACTTTAATGTCTTTGTCTTGATTAGTAATTTATGAGTGTAACTAGGAGTCTTCCCTTGAATAGAACATGTTATTTTGTAGACTTAGCATTGTCACATGAGTCTTTCTCATTGCCTCACTAACTCCTAGCTTCTAAGATTCAGATTGAATTGGCTCTTGGCGAGTTACCTCATTGTCGATATTTACTCTTGAATCAACTTAATTATTCCTATTCTATTATTCAATTTGTAAATCTGTCTAGTTATTATTTAAATTAAAACTTGGCATTTTCTCCAAGGGTCTAGACCTCTTCTCTTGGTCTTTTTTCGGTCTTTTCGTTTTGTCACTTTTCACTCTAGGGTTTTGAGATTTAGGTCTGAGAGTGGATGATTAGGCCTTAGTCATAAAGCACCCGCAGCATTCCATTATTTTAAAGATGTTTAATAATTTATAAACAATCAACGACTTAAATCTATATTATTAAAATAGTTTAATTATTATGTCAAAGGATCATATTAATACAAAACTTAAGGAAATAAAAGAACAGGCTAACTAAATTCAAAGCAGTTAAGAACTTCCTGAAAAGCAATACTATAACATGTAGTAAAATCTTGCACTCCATCATGCCTATAATGAATTTTAAATGATTATTCCAAACCTATACTTGGGAGGGTAAATTTCAGCTATGAATGTCACTAAATTATAAGAACAGAATATTAAGAGAGTATTGAAAGTAAATGGTATTGAGTCGGCATTTCCTTTTAAAAACTATGGAATTGAATTGAGAGTCTTGGATATGGATGACATGCCTGATTTCGATATGATACCATTCATTGATACAGCTACTGACTACATTTATGAAGCAATATCTAATAATCAGGGTTGCTTAGTAGTTTGTACAGCAGGCATCAGCAGAAGTGCCTCAATCGTTATCAGTTATTTAATTAAGTACAAGAAAATGAATTATGATCAGGCTTTTGAATTAACTAAAAAGGCTAGAGTCTTTGTCAAACCAAACCCTGGATTTGAGAGATAGTTGAAAGCTTACTCTGTAAAGATGAACTGTGAATTGTGCTAACTTAGTAAAAAGACATTGTGGCTTGATTAGTACACTTAGAAAACATTAGGAAAAAAGAACTTCTAAGTTTTGATATGTGATTAGTGTGATGGCCCAATGATTGTTTATACTGCTGGACATAAACAAGAGCTGGCAATTGAAGAACTAATGGAAGCTTAGGCTATATGCTAATAGGTAGGCTTGGATTTTTATGGTCTTGATTAATGGTATATTGACCATAAATAAAGGACTATCGATAATCATTTCCATTGGCACATAAGGTCAACTAATGATCCTATGGCCAAGAGTACTCTTCTTAATTAGCCCAAAAGAGATTTCAGCATATCAAAACTAGAAACAAAAGATGTTGACTTAGATTAAATATAACTTAAATCTAATGAACTCATTCTCGAATAGATTGGAGGAAGAGTGAAGGAATTTACAGTTTTAGAGGATAATAAAAATTTTATTGTTAGTTGGGATGATGTATCATTTGATGCCACATTTGAAATAGTGTCCCTGCTGCGACTGAAGAAGCAAAATCTTTACAGCTTCAAGCAAATAGTATCATAATAAGGCAAGATCATTTTCATAAGCTTTTTGAGAATACTCCAAAATGAGGAGGAGTCTCCAAAGTTGTGATTACTAGGGAAGATTAAGATTAGGCAACCGCAATACATCAAGTTGAAGCTAGTTAACAAATTTATTATCAATTAATTTAATAAGATCAAAGAATAATTAAACATCACTAAATTCTCTAAACATTATTACTACTTGGCTTAACACTTGCACTAGAGCCTCGTTTAGCATGAATTTAGCTTTTTTATTTAAGCACTGGATCTTAGATCGTCACCTTTTTTTTCTTCAATTTTTGCACTGTGATCTTTTTCTTTGAGTTATCTTTCACTAAGTGTCTAGGATGATTTTCTTTATTGTCTTGACTCATATTATCACTTAACTAGGTTGCTAGACCAATATGATAAAACCCATTCTCATCCTACTTGATGTTCAGCAAGTCACTTTGCGAACTTTGAGTTGGGTGATGATCTGAGTAAGCATGCTTGTTAAAATCTTAATAAGGCTGTTATGAAATTTACTTGAGATCAAAGACATCTTTTATCTTGTGAATCTTTTCCTTCAAGAATTGATTCTCAGTTTTAAGTTTTTCTATGATTATAGCTCTATTTTCTGATTCCTCTTAATATTTTTACTACTGTTTGGCTTGTTGACTGTCATATTCTTTTTATTGCTCATGCATTCTTTTCTCCATTTCTTGTTTGAATTGGTCAAATGATGTCATCATTTCTTAGTAACTTTTTTGGAAAGTTGTTCTGAGCTTCTAGTTCTCATCCATAGCAAGCTTTAATTGATCTCTCAGCTACTGTGATTGATTGCTGTCAGTCATTTCATGATGAAACTGCTTCATTTTCTCTTCGAGCTAAGATACCTATTTTTCAAGTTATTACTTATCTTTATTAGGATGTTTATTAATTGGCATGTCAATGGACCTCGCTGTTTAGTCCTCAATATGCATAATTTCTCTCTATTTAGTATTATAACCCTTGTTTGACATGTTGGATGTTTAAGTCTAGATTAAATGATTTTCATTAGAATTTGGCATCTATGGTTAGTTTAACATTTGGTACTGCAAATCTTTTATCTGTTTTTCTAACTATTGAATCCTAAGTTTCTTCGATTAGGCTTTCTTGCTATTGGCTCTCTTTTTCTTTTTGTTCATATCTTGCATGATCTCACACATTTTACTTATCTCTTCTTGCATCTTTTAAAGTTGTTCCTCATATCTTTGCTTCTCTTTCTGTTGATCATTGTAAATCTAGTCCATTTTCTTATTCAGCATTTACTCAGTTTGAATCATCAGTGAGAGTTTTTATTTTAATGATTCATTTTCCTTTTCCATCATGCTTTAACTTATCAGTTAAGTTTAGCTTAAGTTCTGGCTTATGAATTTATTACTATTCTATGTTTGCTCAAATTAATTCAATAATTGGGATCCCTGAGTTCTATGCTAGTTGGTTACAGAATATTGATAATTATCTTCATTCGTATTACTCAGCTAATCTATATTTGAAGTCATTACTGACTATTACGAAAGCTAGGTGTTAACTTTAGAACTATTTCTATGATTGATATTGCTGCTGATGTCCATAGACAGTTTATTATTGTGAGTTGATTTAGAATTACTCTAATTGAATGAGTTATCGATCAAGTTCTTGATTCTGTTAAATCTTTCTTTTTCACTGAGCTATTAAAACTGGTTTTGTATCTTAAACTAGGTCTATAAAGGTTTATCTAAGTCTAATTCTTCCTATTATGTGTTGTTCGTGACTGTTGTGTTATTCTAATAGCTTTATGATATATTTTATTTGATATGATTAATCTTGACTTGAAAATTATCTAGTGATGAAATTACTGAATTCTACTGTAATTAATTAGTCGCCTACTAATTGTAATTGGTATTTGGTTGTTGGAAATGGTTCGTTTAGCCGTAGTTATTATTAGATTAGATATTATGAGTTGATGTTGGGCCTAATCTTCTCTATGAGCTGATTCCTGACATAATTTAAGGACTAAGGACATTCTAATTTGAGTTGTATTCACTGGCATTATTGTCATTAAGCTGCTAATTAAAGGAGTTTTCTATTTCGTTATTGATTGTATTTTTTATTTGAGTTAGTTTTTGCTTAATATCTGTGATTCTCTTTTCAAATTCTCCATTGACACTCATATTTTAATGCATAGATCTCTAGGTCGAGCAAATATTAGAGCCAAACTTCATCTAGGTACTACCCTCTGTCTTAGTTAACATCAATTCATCATCAAAGGTTTCGTCATCATCGATATCATTATTATAGTACTACTCTTAATTCCCTGCAAATTGATTATTTATATTTGAGTTATGTTGTTCTGATTGTCTGTTGCCGATCTCTACAATTGAGGAATAGTCCCCAATCACAGAGGCAGTATTATTCATCTAAACTTGATGAAGTTGAATTTAGTTCGATGCTTAAGAGGAGTTTTAAATTGCAATCATATTTGATGAGAGTGTTATATATTCATTATCGATATTGTCCTTTTGATTTTTATTTTCAAAGGTTTAGTTTTTAAGAGTTGTCATTTCTGAACCAGGAATTTCCTTTCTGTTTCTTTTGTTTGAAGATGACCTGCCCAGGTCTTTAGTAAAGTCTTCTAACTTCTTTAGTCTACTGTCTTTCCACTAATTTATTGCGTTCTCATTTTCATTAAAGAAATTCACAGAGACATTCTCAAGAATTTAACCTTATGAGCCAATAATTCTATGATTTTCTTGTTTATTTGATTGCCCACTACTTCCTTAATATGAGCAACTGCCATTTTCACTAGACATTTAAAGATCTAATTCCTTGAATATTTGATTAGAATCAAGAGGATCATCACTATTTAAGAGATAGTCATCGTCTGATGGAGCACTCCCCGAAAATTTGTTTGAGATTGTTTGAAAATTCGAACTCATTTTAATAATCTTTGATATTTAAATTTAAATTTCCATAATACCGTTTACCATTGGATCGGGGTTTTGGGGTTTTGGGGTTTTGGGG